CTGTAAAGTCCAAATCAAAATCCCAGCAGGGTTTTAATGAAACTTGAATTGACTGTCTCTCATTAACTCGTTCTTTCTCTTTTGAAAAACGAATTCCTATCCCCTCTAAATAAAATCCTCCACAATATCCTTGCAAACTGCTTTAGCAACCTTCCCAAAAATAAATATTCATATTATCCATAAGGCCAGAGGCAAATTAATGGGCGGTGGTAGTCATCAAATCTGCACAAAGTTACCTTTTTTTATATTTTGCCCATTTTCTGTAGTGATTCTAGCCCAGTAATGTTAGGGGAAAAGGTCATCGATATCATAACTCACCTTAAATCTCAATTTTCCTTTCCTTTTCCCATACAAGAAGATTTGATTTCATCACCCATTCTTAAAAGACAAGCCAAATTTTAAAATTTTAAAATTTGTAAATGTCCCTTATTCAGAATCATTGGCTACTAGAGTCAGGAGGCCACAGAGAGTCAGAGTAGCAGGAGGAAAACTATTTGGGCTTTGGACTTGGACCACCCTAGACCAAGTTATATAACCTCTTCTGAGCCTCAGCCTCCTCATATGCGAGTTGAGGATAATAATGGTACCTCATTCATAAGGCTTTTCTGAGGGAGGGTTCAATGAAATCATGCTCTTAAGATGCCTGGCTTATGGCAAGCATGTAGAAAATGGTGGCTATTAATTACTAACTTTGACCTCCTCATTTTACAGATGAGAAAAAAGGAAACTAGAACCAAAACTCGTATCCTTCCATTACACCACACCTATCTTTCTCCAGAGTCTCCTATTTATTTAGTGACTTCTTTAAAGCCAAGGGCTAAATCCCTTTCGAAGTGGTCCACAACCACCACCTTCACTTTCATTCACTAAATCACTCTCTGACCTCCAAGCCAACCCCCATTCTTTTCAATCCTCTAAATGTACCCTTTCTAATGCCTTCTATGAAATCCGCAAGCCCCATCATTACACCTAGGTATTCACTCTGCTTAAACCTTCGAACATTCATTCAAAGCAATCCTTTTTCAAACTAAAATACTGTAAGAAATATGTCTCCTTCACTTGGACCATATATGGCAACTGGTACAGGCCAAGTTATTGTTATTCAAATGGAAAATCTTTAGCAAGTGATTGGATAATGATGGCCACCAGTTATTGAATACTTAGTATGTGCCGGGCATTGCCCCAAACACATTACATGTATTATTTCATTTTACCCTCGCAATGAGTCTATGAGGTGGATACTATTATTATTCCAGAGGAAATGTACATATGACTGAATAAGTAATGTTTCACATGTCCATCTCATTATCACATAAACCCATCTAAGAGAGAAGCAAAGTCTCATTTTGGAACATCCTACTTCTATATTAGACCCAGGGAAAACCCTTCCTATAAAAAGACATTTAAAGCAAATACCTTGAAGGCAAATTCATAGATTTTGAGGGTCACTTTTGGCTATGATATGTATCTAATCCATCCACACTGGCAACTTTCAGAATCGGTGGCTAACCTCAACTTTCTGCAAGCTCATTTCAATGGTATTTATGAAAGAGTTCAACAAATCTGATTTTATTGCCCCTGGGCAAAATTTAAGTATGGCAGTCTAGATCAGTTTATGAATCAGCTCCTGCCTGAGACTATGCTCGCTCTTTATTGAGTCATGGTGCAGATTAGGTCCTATATGAAGGTGGACAAACTCTTAGTAGCTGTACACCACTGTACATGGAATAATACATTTCTGAAAGGCTATTTACAAAGCAAATTTTCACACAGCAAGCCCCACTTTCCACTGATGGTCTCTCACTGTTGTGGCCTCTCCCGTCGCAGAGCACAGGCTCCGGACCTGCAGGCTCAGCAGCCATGGCTCACGGGCCCAGCTGCTCCGCGGCATGTGGAATCTTCCTGGACCAGGGCACGAACCCGTGTCCCCTGCATTGGCAGGCGGACTCTCAACCACTGCGCCACCAGGGAAGCCCTGATTGTCTCTTTATTTTATATATATATATATATATATATATATATATATATATTACAAATGAAGTGCGTGTTTACTTCTTTTGTTCAAATAGAAGTATATGAAGTAAAAGAATCTCTGATACCTCTCCACAGACATAACTGTAAACAATCTGGTATATATCATTCTAAATGTTCGCTGTGCATATATACAGTCACATATACTTATTTTTTCAAAATGAGATTATGCATATTGCTCTACAAATTGCTCTTATGCACTTAATAATATATCACAAACATTATTCCATGTCATTATGTTTGTATGTAGATAGGCATCTAAAGAATTTTACCTCATCCTTTTTTCACTGTTACACAGTATTCCATAGTATGGGTATACCATAATGTATTAGTCATATCCCTATTCGTGTACATTCAGGATTTTTCCCAGCATTTTGCAGAAGCTGCTTCTTTTTGGGAAATAAACAAGCTGACCTAGGGCTAAGAGAAAGACTAAATACAGAAACACAAGGAAAGCACTGATGCAAAGTACACCTGTAAATTAACAAAAAATAGCCAAGAAGTAATAAATATATGAAAAACAGGTCTTAAGTTAGTGCAGAACAGACCACTTTTCTGATAAAATTCTGTGATCATAAAGTTTGATAGAGCCTTTATCTTATCTAGTACAGTTTTTATTTTTGACATCTTTATTGGAGTGTAATTGCTTTACAATGTTGTATTAGTTTCTGCTGTATAACAAAGTGAATCAGCTATATGTATACATATATCTCGATATCCACTCCCTCTTGCATCTCCCTCCCACCCTCCCTATCCCACCCCTCTAGGTAGCCACAAAGCACTGAGCTGATCTCCCTGTGCTATGCAGCTGCTTCCTACTAGCTATCTATTTTACATTTGGTAGTGTATATATGTCAATGCTATTCCCAGCTTTGTCCCAGCTTTGTCCCAGCTTACCCTTCCCCCTCCCCGTGTCCTCAAGTCCATTCCCTACATCTGCATCTTTATTCCTGTCCTGCCCCTAGGTTCATCAGAACCTTTTTTTTTTTTAGATTCCATATATATATGTGTTAGCATATGGTATTTTTCTCTTTCTGACTTACTTCACTCTGTATGACAGATTCTAGGTCCAACCACCTCACTACAAATAACTCAATTTCTTTCCCTTTTATGGCTGAGTAATATTCCATTGTATATATGTGCCACATCTTCTTTATCCAGTCATCTGTTGATGGACACTTAGGTTGCTTCCATGTCCTGGCTATTGTAAATAGTGCTGCAATGAACACTGTAGTACATGTCTCCTTTTGGATTATGGATTTCTAAGGGTATATGCCCAGTAGTGGGATTGCTGGGTCATATAGTAGTTCTATTTGTAGTTTTTTAAGGAAATTCCATACTGTTCTCCATAGTTGCTGTATCAATTTACATTCCGACCAACAGCGCAAGAGGGTTCCCTTTTCTCCACACCCTCTCCAGCATTTATTGTTTGTAGATTTTTTGATGGTGGCCATTCTGACTGGTGTGAGATGATATCTCATTGTAGTTTTGATTTGCGTTTCTCTAATGATTAGTGATGTTGAGCATCTTTTCATGTGTTTGTTGGCAATCTGTATATCTTCTTTGGAGAAATGTCTGTTTAGGTCTTCTGCCCATTTTTGGATTGGGTTGTTTGTTTTTTTGTTATTGAGCTGCGTTAGCTGCTTGTATATTTTGGAGATTAATCCTTTGTCAGTTGTTTCATTTGCAAATATTTTCTCCCATTCTGAGGGTTGTCTTTTTGTCTTGTTTATGGTTTCCTTTGCTATGCAAAAGATTTAAGTTTCATTAGATCTCATTTGTTTATTTTTGTTTTCATTTCCATTTCTTGAGGAGGTGGGTCAAAAAGGATCTTGCTGTGATTTATGCCATAGAGGATTCTGGCTATATTTTCCTCTAAGAGTTTTATAGTGTCTGGCCTTACATTTAAGTCTTTAATCCGTTTTGAGTTTGTTTTTGTGTATGGTGTTAGGAAGTGTTCTAATTTCATTCTTTTACATGTAGCTCTCCAGTTTTACCAGCACCACTTATTGAAGAGGCGGTCTTTTCTCCATTGTATATCCTTCCCTCCTTTATCAAAGATAAGGTGACCATATGTGCATGGGTTTATCTCTGGGCATTCTATCCTGTTCCATTGAACTATATTTCTGTTTTTGTGCTGGTACCATACTGTCTTGATTACTGTAGCTTTGTAGTATAGTCTGAAGTCAGGAAGCCTGATTCCTCCAGCTCCGTTTTTCTTTCTCAAGATTGCTTTGGCTATTCGGGGTCTTTTGTGTTTCCATACAAATTTTAAAATGGTTTGTTCTACTTCTGTGAAAAATGCCCTTGGCAGCTTGATAGGAATTGCATTGAATCTGTAGATTGCTTTGGGTAGTACAGTCATTTTCACAATGTTTATTCTTCCAATCCAAGAACATGGTATATATCTCCATCTGTTTGTGTCATCTTTGATTTCTTTCATCAGTGTCTTATAGTTTTCTGCATACAGGTCTTTTGTCTCCTTAGGGAGGTTTATTCCTAGGTGTTTTATTCTTTTTGTTGCAATGGTAAATAGGATAGTTTCCTTAATTTCTCTTTAAGATTTTTCATTGTTAGTGTATAGGAATGCAAGAGATTTCTGTGCATTAATTTTGAATCTTGCTACTTTACCAAATTCATTGATTAGCTCTAGTAGTTTTCTGGTAGCATCCTAATATGAGGAAACCTCTAAAATTGGAAATAAATACTAATGCAAAGACCACGTCAGCTTCTCTCATCTGAGATGACCAGCTTCACCCTTTCCATTGGCTTTGTATATTAATCCCAAGATTATGAACATGCTTTACCTACATGTAACATAACCCTTCCCAGATAGATCGTAAGCTCTTGACTCTTCATCAGGGACTAGAGTTGTCAGTTTTACTCCCCTGGCAATGGCAATGAAATGACCCAGAGCTCCCCAGGTCTTGTGCCACAAGGCCTGGAAGGAAGCTGTATGGGTGGCAGGGCAGAATCACCTTATCATTTAGTATAACGTTTTCCACAGGTGAAGGGAGGGGATCGTTTCAAAACCCAGTATCTTCCTGCAAAAAATAAAATCCATCATCATATCAAGTGAAAGTCAAGGTATCTTCATTTGAGGTCACAGAAGTTATGGAATTTAAGACTGGTAAAGTTCAGGAGGTGAGAAATGTTTTAGCCACTGACTAGGAAATAGTGTTATGTCCTGTCTGAGACAGTTGCATTATGTTTGATAAACAAATATCTATGACACACATTGCAAAACTTAGATTAAGAAACCTCAGGGCAGAGGACAGATCATCACATGTAGAAAATACCGAGGCACTTAGCCAGTACACAAAGAGGAGTGTGGCTTCAGAACTTGAAAGCCTGTGTCCCTAGGCCTTATTTTTTTCTCCTTTTTAACTTATTCTGTAGATACATGTTTGAACTGAGGCAACAGTTTTAATTTTTATATATGCAAACATAGAAATAGTATGCATTGCCTCTGAAATTTAACATAACACATGAACTTCTCAAATAGAATTTTAGAGCTGTAATGGACTTTAAGGATAATCTAGAGTTCAATCATTCATTTATTTACAAATGAGGAAACTGGGGCTTCAAGAGGTTAAGTAATTTATCCAAGTTTACAGAACTAGTTATTTCAGAACTGGGGACCGGAACACAGATCTCCTGACTGGGCTCAAAGCTCAACCTATTTTGCTACATTGCCGACCTCATGTCAATTTGCCAGACGTTTGATAATCTAATCATAAGCAAAATTACCATAACCACATTTATTAAAGTGCCCTGTATTGCTCAGATTAAAAGAACAATCAGGAATATCATTTTAAAAAAACAGGAAAATATGGTTTGTTCCATTTATGTGGAATGTGTCTGAGAAAGCAAGTGGAAATTTTGAGGGGAAAGATGATTTCTTCTCCATTACCTAATTTGTTAAAGAAAAAAAGTAAACTCTTCCAATACATTTGTCAATTATCTGCATGTGGTCAATCTACTCTACAAAGGTCCACTCCTTTGTAGAGGAGGTTGCAACCTCCTCTTTACCCAATGGATACATGGAGTTGGTGGTCAACTTGCCCCATCTATATGCCTTCCATACTTCCTGTCTGCCACTTTTATGACATTCCTGCTATGATACAGTTAAATATAACTGTATCAGCAAATATTCAAGGCCAGTAAGACCTGATATCAGAAAGGAACTTTGCAGTGTTATGGAAAATGTGATATTCTCAGGAGTTGAGGCCAGGAAGACATTTGGGGTATCTGCCAAATATAATTTTATAACACTAGCTCTTTCATTCCTGTTTGCTTCTGATCTTTCTATCTTCTGCACAGTATAAAAGAAACTGTAAAAGTTCAGAAATATTCTAAAGTCAGAAATAATCTGAAGATGGTGGAGTAGAAGGACATGCACTCACTCCCTCTTGTGAGAGACCCAGAATCACAAATAACTGCTGAACAATCATCGACAGAAAGACACTGGAACCCACCAAAAAAGATACCCCACATCCAGAGACAAAGGAGAAGCCACAATGAGATGGTAGGAGAGGTGCAATCACAATCAAATCAAATCCCATAACCCCTGGGTGGGTGACTCACGAACTGGAGAACAATTATACCACAGAAGTCCACCTACTGGAGTGAAGGTTCTGAGTCCCACATCAGGCTTCCCCCCTGGGGATCCAGCAATGGGAGGAGGAATTCCCAAAGAATCGGACTTAGAAGGCCAGTGGGATTTGATTGCAAGACTTCAACAGGTCTGGGGGAAACAGAGACTCCACTCTTGGAAGGCCCACACAAAGTAATGTGTGCATTAGGACGCAAGGGGAAGGAGCAGTGACCCCATAGGAGACTGAACCAGACCTACCTGCTAGTGTTGGAGGGTCTCCTGCAGAGGCAGGGGATGGCTGTGGCCCACCACGGGGACAAGAACATTGGCAGCAGAAGTTCTGGGAAGTACTCCTTGGTGTTAGCCCTCCCGGAGTCCACCATTAGCCCTACCAAAAAGCCTGTAAGCTCCAGTGCTGGGTCGCCTCAGGCCAAACAAGCAAGAGGGAGGGAACTCTGCCCTACCCATCAGCAGACAAGTGGGTCAAAGTTTTACTGAGCTCTGCCCACCAGAGCAACACCCAGCTCTACCCACCACTGATCCCTCCCATCAGGAAGCTTGCACAAGCCTCTCAGATAGCCTCATCCACAAGAGGGCCAACAGCAGAAGCAAGAAGAACTACAGTCCTGCAGCCTGAGGAACAAAAACCACATTCACAGAAAGATAGACAAAATGAAAAGGCAGAGGACTATGTACCAGATGAAAGAACAAGATAAGACCCCAGGAAAACAGCTAAGTGAAGTGGAGATAAGCAAGCTTCCAGAAAAAGAATTCGGAATAATGATAGTGAAGATGATACAGGACCTCAGAAAAAGAATGGAAGCAAAGATCGAGAAGATGCAAGAAATATTTAACAAAGACCTATAAGAATTAAAGAACAAACACAGATGAACAATACAATAACTGAAATGAAAAAATACACTAGAAGGAATCAATAGCAGAATAACTGAGGCAGAAGAACAGACAAGTGACCTGGAAGACAGAACGGTGGAATTCACTGCTGTGGAACAGAATAAAGAAGAAAGAATGAAAAAAAATGAAGACAGCCTAAGGGATGTTTACAACAACATTAAACACACCAACATTCACGTTATAGAGGTCCCAGAAGGAGAAGAGACAGAGAAAGGACCAGAGAAAATATTTGAAGAGATTATAGTCAAAAATTTCACTAACATGGGAAAGGAAATAGTCACCCAAGTCCAGGAAGCACAGGGAGTCCCAGGCAGGATAAACCCAAGGAGAAACACACCGAGACATATAGTAATCAAATTGACAAAAGTTAAAGACAAAGAAAAATTATTAAAATCAACAAGGGAAAAATGACAAATAACATACAATGGAGCTCCCATAAGGTCAATAGCTGATTTCTCAGCAGAAACTCTACAAGTCAGAAGGGAGTGGCATGATATACTTAAAGTGATGAAAGGGAAGAACCTACAACCAAGATTACTCTACCCAGCAAGGATCACATTTAGATTCAACAGAGAAATCAAAAGCTTTACAGACAAGCAAAAGCTAAGAGAATTTAGCACCACCAAACCAGCTCTACAACAAATGTTAAAGGAACTTCTCTAAGTGGTAAACATAAGAGAAGAAGAGGATCTACAAAAACAAACCCCAAACAATTAAGAAAATAGTAATAGGAACATATGTATCGATAAATACCTTAAATGTGAATGGATTAAATGTTCCAACCAAAACACATAGGCTTGGGCTTCCCTGGTGGCGCAGTCGTTGAGAGTCTGCCTGCCGATGCAGGGGACATGGGTTCATGCCCCGGTCCGGGAAGATCCCACATGCCGCCAAGCGGCTGGGCCCGTGAGCCATGGCCACTGAGCGTGCGCGTCCAGAGCCTGTGCTCCGCAACGGGAGAGGCCACAACAGTGAGAGTCCTGCGTAACGCAAAAAAAAAAAAAAAAAAGACATAGACTTGCTGAATGGCTACAAAAATAAGACCCATATATATGCTGCCTACAAGAGACCCACTTCAGACCTTGGGACACATACAGACTGAAAGTGAAGGATGGAAAAAGATTCCATGCAAATGGAAATCAAAAGAAAGCTGGAGTCGTAATACTCATTTCAGATAAAATAGACTTTAAAGTAAAGAATGTTACAAGAGACAAGGAAGGACACTACATAATGATCAAGGATTCAATCCAAGAAGATATAACAATTATAAATATATATGCACCCAACATAGGAGCACCTCAATACATAAGTCAAACGCCAACAGCTATAAAAGAGGAAATTGACAGTAACACAATAATAGTGGAGAACTTTAACACCTCATTTACACCAATGGACAGATCATCCAGACAGAAAATTAATAAGGAAACACAAGCTTTAAATGACACAATAGACCAGATAGATTTAATTGATATTTATAGGACATTCCATCTGAAAACAGAAGATTACACTTTCTTCACAAGTGCGCATGAAACATCCTCCAGGATAGATCACATCTTGGGTCACAAATCAAGCCTCGGTAAATTTAAGAAAGTTGAAATGATATCAAGCAACTTTTCTGACCACAACGCTATGAGATTTGAAATAAATTACAGAGAAAAAATGTAAAAAACACAAACACATGGAGGCTAAACAGTACGCTACTAAATAACCAAGAGATCACTGAAGAAATCAAAGAGGAAACCAAAAAATACCAAGAGACAAATGACAACAAAAACACAATGATCCAAAACCTATGGGATGCAGCAAAAGCAGTTTTTTTAAAAAAAAATAAATTTATTTATTTATTTATTTTGGGCTGCGTTGGGTCTTCGTTGCTGCACATGGGCTTTCTCTAGTTGTGGGGAACGGGGGCTGCTCTTCATTGCGGTGTGCAGGCTTCTCATTGCGGTGGCTTCTCTTGTTGCGGAACATGGGCTCAGTAGTTGTGGCGCGCAGGCTCAGTAGCTCCACGGCATGTGGGATCTTCCCAGAGCAGGGCTCGAACCCGTGTCCCCTGCATTGGCAGGTGGATTCTTAACCACTGCACCACCAGGGAAGTCTGCAAAAGCAGTTTTAAGAGGGAAGTTTATAGCAATTCAATCCTACCTCAAGAAACAAGAAAAATCTCAAATAAACAATCTAGTGTTACACCTAAAGGAACTAGAGAAAGAAAAACAAACAAAACCCAAAGTTAGCAGAAGGAAAGAAATCATAAAGATCAGAGCAGAAATAAATGAAATAGAAACAAAGAAAACAATAGCAAAGAGCAATAAAACTAAAAGCTGCTTCTTTGAGAAGATAAACAAAACTGATAAACCTTTAGCCAGATGCATCAGGAAAAAGAGGGAGAGAATTCAAATCCATAAAGTTAGAAATGAAAAAGGAGAAGTCACAATGGACACCACAGAAATACAAAGCATCATAAGAGACGACTACAAGCAACTCTATGCCAATAAAGTGGACAACCTGGAAGAAATGGACAAAGTCTTAGAAAGGTATAACCTTCCAAGACTGAACCAGGAAGAAATAGAAAATATGAACAGAACAATCACAAGTAATGAGATTGAAACTGTGATTAGAAATCTTCCAACAAACAAAAGTCCAGGACCAGATGGCTTCACAGGTGAACTACATCAAACATTTAGAGAAGAGCTAACACCCATCCTTCTCAAACTCTTCCGAAAAACTGCAGAGGGAGAAACACTCCCAAACTCATTCTATGAGGCCACCATCACCCTGATAACAAAACCAAAGATACTACAAAAAAAGAAAATTACAGACCAATATCACTGATGAATATAGATGCAAAAATCCTCAACAAAATACTAGCAAACAGAATCCAACAGCACATTAAAAGGATCATACACCATAATCAAGTGGAATTTAACCCAGTGATGCAAGGATTCTTCAACATATGCAAATCAATCAATGTGATACACCATATCAACAAACTGAAGAAAAAAACCCATATGATCATCTCAATAGATGTAGAAAAAGCTTTCGACAAAATTGAACACCCATTTATGATAAAAACTCTCCAGAAAGTGGGCATAGAGGGAACCTACCTCAAAATAATAAAGGCCACATACGACAAACTCACAGCCAATATCATTCTCAATGGTGAAAAACTGAAAGCATTTCTCTAAGATCAGGAACAAGACAAGGATGTCCATTCTCACCACTATTATTCAACATAGTTTTGGAAGTCCTAGCCACAGCAATCAGGGAAGAAAAAGAAACAAAAGGAATCGAAATTGGAAAAGAAGAAGTAAAACTGTCACTGTTGGGCTTCCCTGGTGGCTCAGTGGTTGGGAGTCCGTCTGCCAATTCAGGGGACGTGGGTTCATGCCCTGGTCCGGGAGGATCCCACGTGCCGCGAAGCAGCTGGGCCCGTGAGCCATGGCCACTGGGCCTGCGCGTCCGGAGCCTGTGCTCCGCAACAGCAGAGGCCACGGCAGTGAGAGGCCTGTGTACTGCAAAACAAAACAAAAAAAAACTGTCACTGTTTGCAGAGGATATGATATTATGCATAGATAACCCTAAAGATGCCACCAGAAAACAACTAGAGTTAATCGATGAATTTGGTAAAGTAGCAGGATACAAAATTAATGCACAGAAATCTCTTGTATTCCTATACACTAACGATGAAAGATCAGAAAGAGAGATTAAGGAGACAATCCCATTCACCATTGCAACAAAAGAATAAAATACCTAGGAATAACCTACCTAAGTGGGTAAAAGACCTCTACTCAGTAATCTATAAGACACTGATGAAAGAGATCAAAGATGACACAAACAGATGGAGATATATACCATGTTTTTGGATTGGAAGAATCAATATTGTGAAAACGACTATTCTACCCAAAGCAATCTACAGATTCAATGCAATCCCTATTAAATTACCAATGGCATTTTTTACAGAACTAGGACAAAAAATCTTAAAATTTGTATGGAGACACAAAAGACCCTGAGTAGCCAAAGCAACCTGAGGAAAAAAAGAAAACAGAGCTGGAGGAATAACTCCCTGACTTCAGACTATACTACAAAGCTACAGTAATCCTCCATCACAAAAATAAGCTCAAAATGGATTAAAGACCTAAATGTAAGGCCAGAAACTATCAAACTCTTAGAGAAAAACATAGGCAGAACACTCTATGACATAAATCACAGCAAGATCCTTTTTGACCCACCTCCTAGACAAATGGAAATAAAAACAAAAATAAACAAATGGGACCTAATGAAACTTCAAAGCTTTTGCACAGCAAAGGAAACCATAAACAAGACCAAAAGACAACCCTCAGAATGGGAGAAAATATTTGCAAATGAAGCAACTGACAAAGGGTTAATCTCCAAAATTTATAAGCAGCTCATGCAGCTCAATAACAAAAAAACAAACAACCCAATCCAAAAATGGGCAGAAGACCTAAATAGACATTTCTCCAAAGAAGATATACAGACTGCCAA